ATCTCCCGTCTGCTTCCGACACCGGCGCTCCTGATCTCCGCCTAACCGCATCTCCCTAGGGACGTGTCTTCTCGCCAGTGACTTCCCCTGGCCGGACAAACCGCCTTTTTTTGTCTTTTTTCTTTTAAAAAAAATTGTGTCCTCCATTAATGGCGGACTCGCGAGCTGAAAGCTCGAATTTGCCGGCGTCCGGTGAGTCGACCATCTGCCGCTGTTCGCATCCACGTGAGAGCGACAGAGAGAAATCGCGCGAGCTCCGACTGTTGGTCGCGCGATGGGGGTCGCCCAGCAACGAGTGGCGACGCGATGGGGGCCGCCCAACTACAGTTGGCCTGTGCGACGGGAGATCGGAGATTGGCGATTCAGTTCCCAAATCTTTTTTTTTTCTTCCAGATCTCTGGAGAAAGAGTATAGATTAGGGGAAAAAAATATATTTTTTTTTCAATCTTTTATACTTTACAGTCAAATTAAATGATTAATCTATTAATATATAATAAGGATTAACTTAATTCATTTTTAGAAAATTTTTCCCGCCAAATTCATTAATTACACTCTAAAAATAGTAACTTAACACACTATCATGAATTATTGCTTAATTATATGCCTTTTTTTTCCGATTTTTTTTTTCTTTTATGATATGGAATGAAAATCCTAATCAATCTCCTATTTTTGTCTCCATATCAATCACAAAGATAAAAAACTGAAAAAAATGGTAACAAGATTTTTAATTTTCGGTACAATAACAAGAATTATTTTGAAGTTACATATATTCGTTTTTGTTTAAAATATTAGATAGATTTATTTTTTATGAACCCAAATATATATATTCCATAAATATTAATATTGTAATGTAGTGAAATATTCTACACATTGTGAACTTATATTTCCGAAATCTCATATAATAACTAAAAATTAATTAATTATATATATATATATATATATTAGTATTTACGAGAATCTCGAACACACTCTGCCATTCAATTGTCAATCGTTAGGAAAACAATTTCTCATACTATTAGCAGAAAAACAAAACGATTATGGACCAACCAATGTGCTTGATCAGATATTTTAAACGCAATAAGAGCACATTATGGACCAACCTATGTGCTTGATCACCATTTATTAACATACAAAAAATTGGTGTCAAACAAAAAATGGACCAACCTTTCGTTCTTATCAAAGATGTTAAAAGTACAAAGAGAGTTATGTTGCAACTTCTAAAAATCTGAAAAGAATTAGAGGAAGAAGATGTTTATGCAATTTGCAACTACAAAGTGGAAAGAAATCTTAGTAAATATGGATATGCAATTATCAAATACAAAATAATTTTGCATAGAAAAACAAAAATCATAGTCAACCCAACCTATTTCTCTATTTTCCGTTTTGATTTTTGAAATTTTGCAACATTTTGTGATGTGGAAAATGTCGATGAGTCTTCACATTTCGATAAGATTAACTTTCGAATATATTCATTATCATATCTAACAATGATTAAATAAATATTTTTTATTTCTTATGAATGTAGATGTCATTGGGTTGGTAGTAGAAATTTAACAAGTGCAATTCAAGCAAGTTGCACGACAACATACCCAAATGATTGACTTTATTTTTCTCGATTTGGAGTAAGTATTTGCATAAAGGTGTTTAATTGTTATATACATTTAAGAAAAATTTATTAGTTTGAAATTATTATTTTATATATTATAGGGACAATACTATTAGTTTTGAGAAGACAAAGGCTATCCATGAGTTCTCATAATGTAGTTTAGTAGAGTAAGATTGTGTGGTGGTAGTATTAAAAAATTAAAGTATTATAAATTTTGATATTTTTTAATTTTGCTTTTTTATATATAATAATTTGGTGGAGCAAGGCTGTGGGTTGGTTGTATTAACAACCAATAATGTTATGTACAAAGAGATTTTTAATAATGTATAACTTTCTTATGACGAATATTTTATATCAAGTGACAAATGCTCTACGTATTATACGTTATTGATTAATAACCTTCAATTTATAAATTTTACCAAAACAAATACAGCATGTGCATTACATACTAGTAATAATATTAATATATATGTGTAGATGTGAGGAAAGAGAGAGCTTTGTTAGAGAGTGCAGTGGCAAAATAAATGTAAAGGGACTAAACATGAAATTGAGTATGACATTGGAGATTTAAGTCTACACAACCGTTAATTTAACAATGGTGCAGGAGCTACTTCATTTTAATTATTTCATATTTTTTTTGGTACAATAATCATTTCATATTGAGTGCATATTGGTAATTCACGTTTTTTATCCTTTATCTTAGCTCACACAAAAAGTAAACAAAATCATATCTTTGGAACGGTCTGTAATAACAAACATAAATGTCATACAATCTCAACAATACAACCTTATTTCACATGACAACATTTATCTAATCTCATCTACCCTAACAAATGAGGCCTATATTTTTTGTACTTACTATTGGTATACCATAACCGATGCTCATTAATATCCTAGTGAGATTTCACCTTAAACTAGTATTGATCTTGTGCATTTGCACAGATATAAAACACGTTTTTGTTTATTTATTAATTAGACATGTACTTCTATCATATTTATTACTTTTTCTTAAGTTGTTTTTATCATTCAAAATTAATTGAAATTTAAATTCAATTTTAACCATGCAACGTTTACATTAGTAACATGAATAAAATAATTTATATATTTGTGGCATATATTAAGAAAATTAACATAAATAAAAAATTTATTGGTGTTTATGATTTTAGAAAAAAAAAATGTGTGTCAATCATATTTTTCTTCTAACAATGCAATCAAATATAGCAGTTACAACTCTGAATGTGTCAATCAATTTTAAGTTCCAACATTAGCCGTTATACATTTGAATATTTTGCTACCAAATTTAAAATTAATTTAGTAACTGATCCAAAAAAATAAATAATAAAAAAATATATTAAGGTGTAACAATTTTAGCATATTAGTGAACAATTAATTAAAAAAAATATAACTCTTTTTAGAGGGAAATGAAAATAGGTTTTATTAAATGTTTTATTAAATGCATCAGCTAATTACAAGTACGTAATAAATGTACATAGAGATATACAAAAAACATTCACATAGAGATATACATAACATTCACATGTAGAGAAGACTTGATTTTTTATTTTTGGTGGGTCCCACTCGATGCGAGTGTACAAATAAAGTGGATTCCACTCGATGCGAGTTTTATGTACACCCCTTTGTACAATATTATGTACTTATAGTATTACTCCACATACAATACAATAGTAGATCAGAAGATGTCATCAACCTTCACGCAATATATCGTTATCTTTTTTTTTTGGTATAGGGACCTTCCGGTTTCCGGATGTACATGGGAACCGACTAATCCGGAATCGAGCCGGGTAGGACCACAAGGGCGGCAAAGCTCACCCTCAAGAGTTTTAACACTGCTGCATTCCCAGGGCTCGAACACGAAACCACTGGTTAAGCTGGAAGAGACCCAAGCCATCTCATCTAAGCGCTCTTGGGTAATATATCGTTATCTTTAACTGCACCGAAGCAAATCTGTCATTCTCCCACCGACTACAATCAATCTCCGCCGTAGAGTTTCAACTCCATAACACCGATCAACGGTTGATATCCCGTCAATAATATGCTCAACCACCTTACTTAAATTGGAGCCCACCACAGACAACACTGCACCCTACCCACTCACCTTGTCATGTGACCAAGAATTTTTTTTTTTTTTTTTGTCTATAAATAAGCCCTTCAATTCAATTGCATAGACTTGCAAGCATTTGGCGCATCCCAAGCAAGTGCCCATCACCCAAAAGGCCAAAAGGTCAAACCTTCACTGAAGAAGGTACACATTTCGTTTAGCTCATTTTGGGTGTTTCAAGAGTTTAATTTATGGGTTTTGTGGTTTAATTTTTGCACATTTTGGGTGTTTGCTGCAGTTTTTTTTGGGTGCTTCAAGAGTTTTAATCCATGGGTTTTGTGGTTTAATTTTTGCACATTTTGGGTGTTTGCTGCAGTTATTTTTGGGTGTTTGAAGATTTCAATCCATGGGTTTTGTGGTTTAATTTTTGTGCTTGTAATTGTTTGTAAATCTTGAATGGCTATGAACTTGTTGATCACTGTTGGAACATTTTTGTGAATTTTGCCATCATGCCTTTTGTGCACTTCCCTTTGTTTTTTTTTTTTTTTTTTTTTTTTTTTTTTTGCTGTTTATTCGTTGATGAGTACAAGTAGACCATGCCTTATTAATTAATATTTGGCATTTGGACTTATAATAATTCAGTAGTTAATATTCAAATTATTTTCCAGTGAGTGAGGTTGAAGATCGTCTGCCGTGTTTTTCTACTATTTGAGCAGATTTACAGACCTTTCCAATGTTATAAGACAATTTGTCATTCGATCATGCCTCTGTTCCGTGTTTGCTTTAGCTTTAGATTTTTTCTGCTTTTTGTTGGTTATTCATGCCTTTATCATGAATTCGGCATGATCCTTCCTTGTTTTATGGATAAGATGCCTTTTTATATGATGCTTGGCAAGATTTATCCTTTGGGGTTGTTTTGTGCTCTATGAATGGAACATTAAAGGATCTGATGCTCTGTTGAGCTTCTCTTGATATTCCATGGGTAAAGGAGAGAATCTTTGGTCCACCAATTATGTTAGGTCCCGATACGAAATCAATAGTAATTACCCTCTCCCTTTTAGAGTAAGCAGCTGATTGACACTTCAGAATCTTGAATGTCCTAAAACATATATTTAGCTGTCTTTCTGTGTAATAGATCAAAGAGAATAAAGTGTTTTAGTTGAAATGAAGCTATTTTTCTGAGATAGATGTAGCTGGAAAAATAATTGAAAAGGGCTAGAACTGAGAAATAAAAAAATTCATCTTTAAATCTAAATAGGGTAAAGTACCTTTTTCTTTTTTTTCCCAAATTCGAGTGGATTTCACTAGCAGCTTTATATTTTTTTGCAGAAAAAAATGGAGACATTCCTGTTCACTTCAGAGTCTGTGAATGAGGGGCACCCGGACAAGCTGTGCGACCAGATCTCGGACGCAGTCCTGGACGCCTGCCTGGAGCAGGACCCGGACAGCAAGGTGGCATGCGAAACATGCACCAAGACAAACATGGTGATGGTCTTTGGGGAGATCACAACCAAGGCCCAAGTGGACTACGAGTCCATCGTGCGCTCCACATGTCGCCAGATTGGCTTCACGTCCGATGATGTGGGCCTCGATGCCGACAAGTGCAAGGTACTTGTCTACATCGAGCAGCAGAGCCCCGACATTGCACAGGGTGTCCACGGCCATCTCACCAAGCGTCCTGAGGAGATTGGTGCCGGTGACCAAGGCCACATGTTTGGCTATGCCACGGATGAGACCCCTGAGCTTATGCCCCTCAGCCACGTGCTTGCCACCAAGCTTGGGGCCCGCCTGACTGAGGTCCGCAAGAATGGCACCTGCCCTTGGCTTAGGCCCGATGGCAAGACCCAGGTCACCACCTCAAATTTAAAAAAAAAAAAAAAATATCTATACTTATGATACAGAGAAGAGAAAGAAATGTGGAGAAGAAGTTTAAAATAATTAATCTATATCTATTCTTAAAACCAGTGCCAAAAAATAGCTCATTTTAAAGTAATGAATAGTTATTTTCTTATATAATTATCAATACACTCAAACTCAATGTTCTTATATTTTCACATATCTAGCACAGTTTTTTTGGAAAATAAAATTTCTGAGTTTTATGCTTTAATTCATGATAAGTTACATAGCTAAGTCCTATGCAAGTCGAAGTTTCAGTTGTTTATTTGTTACTGCATTTTTGTTGTGGCATTCATTTTAACAATGGGTTCACCTGATCAAAAATACTTGGCTATTTTCCAGAAAAATCACTTGAATGCAATTTCTCAACCAAAAACTCTTTAATTACAAAATTTTAGATTATAGAATGTTAAACTTGGATGGCCAATATGTCAAGTATGTAGTAGTACTTCATTTTATAACTTATCAATGTTTGGGTAGGTCACGGTTGAGTACCTGAACGAGGGTGGGGCCATGCTCCCCGTCCGTGTCCACACCGTTCTGATCTCGACCCAGCACGACGAGACGGTTACCAATGACGAGATCGCACGGGACCTCAAGGAACATGTCATCAAGCCCGTTATCCCCGACAAGTACCTCGACGAGAAGACCATTTTCCACCTCAACCCGTCAGGCCGGTTCGTGATTGGTGGGCCCCACGGTGACGCAGGCCTCACGGGCCGCAAGATCATCATCGACACGTACGGCGGGTGGGGGGCCCACGGCGGGGGCGCATTCTCGGGCAAGGACCCGACCAAGGTCGACCGTAG